ATTTTACTATTTATGGAATGACTAGGAAATATCACATGACAAAACAATTTTTATTGCATTTTTGATTGGAAATTTTTCCCAAAATTCGTCGTCGTGGCGCAGTAAGATGCGGGATTAGGTGTCCTGCACTGTATTCACTGGGGTCTTCTTCAGCCTCCTTCGCAAAACCACACATTCTCGCATCAGTCTGGATTCTATCACGGAATGCTATGGAATCGAGCTTATCTTTATCAGTTATAGTAATGAAAATCTCTGGATCCTCACCAAGTTCGATGGCTTTTTGCCTTAATCATATTTCTTGTTGCTCCCTGCTTTGATATCCGGGTGGGTATGATATCTGCTGGGGAGGTGCTTCGTTACTGGCTCTCAGTTCATTTTCCACAGATTCAATAGGAGATGGTTCAACTTCATCATTCGCTGGTTTAATGATCTCAGAAGCTGGTTCGGATCTATCGTCTACAGATTCTACATGTTCGATCTCGGGAGGCAGAGATATATTGGTAGACTTGGATGACGAAGCAACTGGAGATTCATTTGTTATAGAATCGAAGAGATCCTGGGTCATGTTAGTAATGGGTGAAGCAGGTGATACATTCTTACCTTTTTTGATGTGATCGGTGGTCGATGACTCAGATATCTTTTTTTCTGGTTCGGTAGGTGTAATTTCAGATATATCGAATACAGGGATATCCGTGGAAGTGTTGGTAAATGTCTCGGCTTCAGGTGTGTCTAAAAATTCCTTGATATCACCTACCGATTCACGTAACTTAGCTACGATTTTGGATCGATCAAGAATATATACCCATTCTCTTTTTCCATTAATCCGTACTTGCTTTTTCTCAATTCCTATCAGTGGAAGAAAACCTCCAAATTTGTTATTACTGATTCGATCTTTGCCATCATTCCCACACCAAGTAAGATAATCTTGATATAAATTTCCACAGATTGGTTTATCGATTTGATTTTCGGGCCATGATTTAATATGTTGTATTATAAAGCGAATAGGGTTTGGGAGTTGTTTCATTATTGTATCTGTTTTCATTTTAGTGATAGGGAAATTCTGTGGACTCCACTTTGTCAGATCATGGCTAAGAAGATATGACATGACTACTCCTGGCGCGTCAGGATGATCAAGAATTTCTCCTAGTCGATCAAAATATGGTATATTACCCCTACAACATGGAGATACGTCAAAACAAACTACGTGGGCATCGCCAGCATCTATTTTGATAGGGGCATCCTGGTTACTTGTAATCATAAACCCACTAAAATCATTTAATCTTAAAGGATCTAGACCTTTTCGTTCTATAGATACTCTTCCCTCCATTATAAGAGATTTGAGATGACCATTGAATCTATGCCATTCCCCACTAGACATACTAGTTTCATTCATAACTACAAGCTTTTTGCCTTGAATAAGACTATTAAATTTTCCAAGAATTTTCCCCAGATCGGAAGTCGCGTAATGGAGATTTGGTCCTAATACCTTATCACCAATAAAATCAGTAATGATATTTTTTCCACACTGTTGAAGTGCAGATTTTAATACTAGAATT